GATTTGATTTGAGAACAATCCTTTCTTAACCTTATTGAATGTATTTTATAGGTTTTTGCTTGCTGGATGTCTAACATGAAAGGATCCCATAACCATGAACAGAATATTTTTAAAGATAGAGAAATATTCCTTTCCCCTTCTTTCTTCCTATTTGCATATGAACATCTTGGGGGATAGGGTTAGGGTTAAGGGAAGAAGAATAATTACAGCTCAAAGTGTTGGTGATTAGAAAAAGTTTTGCTCTCTAGCACAGGGGTCCTCAACCTTGGCAACTTTCAGACTTGTGGACTTCAACTCCCAGAATTCCACAGCCAGCAAAGGTCTAGCACTTAGATGTAATTCTTCCTGTTGTTTAGCTCTGAAAAGAATGGAGGAATTCAGTATTGAGGTTCTATTCCTTTCTATCCGTGGGCAGTATTTCCAGTCTTGGCAGCTATCAAATGGGTGAGATGGACACGAGAACTTCACAACCAGCATGGTCATAGTTGAGAAGTCCACCCAGCTGGAAGTTGCCAAAGTTGGGAGTCTAAGCAACTGCTTCCTATTTTAGAAGATTAATATTTAAAGCCCAGGATATATTCAAACCCAATAATGTCCTCAGCTTTTGAGATTACCTCATTATAATGGTTTAGCAATAGCAATAGCACTTACATTTGTATACTACTTCATAGAGCAGGGGGTCTTCAAACTTGGCCCTTTTATGACTTGTGGACTTCAACTCCCAGAATTCCTCAGCCAGCATCCCTGGCTGAGGAATTCTGGGAGTTGAAGTCCACAAGTCATAAAAGGGCCAAGTTTGAACACCCCTGTCATAGAGCTTTACAGCACTCTCTGAATGGTTTACAGAGTAAGCATATTCTCAACAACCTGTGCCTCCATTTTACCGACTTCAGAAGGATGGAAGGCTGAGTCAATCTTGAGCCAGTCAGGATCAAACTGCTGGCAGTGGGCAGAGTTAGCCTGCAATACTGCATTCTAACCACTGCGCCACCCGGCTAGCAATTTCTTTCTACTTAAAGAAACATAACTCTTTTCCTTGGATGTCAGTGGAACAAGAGGTGGGGAATTGTTGGGGAAATATCCCTTGAAATCCATTTCTCAAATGTTTTTAGGTGGCCATTAGTGGAGCAAATCTACAGAATGTCTTTATGTTTCTCACCCTGGAACCTCTTCTGGCCCGAAGCCCATTCCTGGTCCTTCACGTTCGCAGGAGCAACTTGGTTGGCGATGCTTTGAGGGAACTGAGCATCCATTCGGATGTTGACTTGAAAAAGCCTTTGAAGGTAAGCGCCTATCAATGTGATCTAATCCTCACAGCAGCATCCAATTCGCCTCTGGGCTGCTTCAGTATGTTTTATTTCTGATTACTGGTGAAATTCCATGTGATGGACTCCTTCACCCATACAAAATAATTGTCTCCACATGGAATGAAGAACGCTACGAAAGGTAATCCTGTTTGAGAGATAGCATTCATTTTTTAAAAAATAATAAAATACGATGACTTTCTCTGAGAGGTGAGATTCCCCCTGCCGTGGCTTGGCACCCCATTTTTTTCATTGTGAAATACAATGAATCTATTGTCCCAAAGGTGCTTTTTGAAAAGGCAACTGGACTTTCTTTGTTTTTCCTTGAAGACATTATCCTTCTCATCCAAGAAGCTTCTTCAATTCAGAACTGAAGAATCTTCTTGGATGAGAAGCAAAATGTCTTCACGGAAAAACAAAGTCCAGTTGCCTCTTGAAAAAGCACCTTTGGGACATCCATGACCTGGATGACTGAGAATCTCCATGGGCAATGGCAATTGGTTATTCTCTTTTGCCCATGCAAACCACCTTAAGGCACTGTTTGTGAGGTGGGCGGCCGTATTCTTTGTTTAATCATTAAATAAAATTGCCCTTGTTGAAATCAATATGTTCTGGTAGGTGATCTTTGATGGTGAGGAAGCTGTGGACGCTGGTGGTGTCACAAAGGAATTCTTTCTCCTGCTTCTGAAAGAGCTCTTGAATCCCATCTACGGAATGTTCACCTGCTATTCAGACTCCAATCTACTCTGGTTCTCAGATACTGTAAGTATGGCTACTGCATTCTTCTGAATACAGGCAGTCCTTGCTTAGCGTCCGTTTGAAGTAACAATGGGCCTCCCTGGGGTATTTATGAGTTGGTTCTGATGTTCCAATGGCCAATCTCTTCTCCCCCCCAGTCGCAAGAACACATGCCAGCCATTTAGGCCCATTTGCAGTCTCCCACAGTCACATGACCATATGTTAGGATGTTTTTGCCAAATCCCAGCATTTACCTCCAGTTTTCAGCAAAAATGTCCCATAGCAAACCATTGGTTTGGTTAATGGTCATGGCATTTGCTTCATGACCAAGGTAGCTGCTTTACGACCATTCCGTTTGCTTAACAACTGTTGCAGAAAAGATCATAAAATCAGATCACTTACAACCCAATTTATAACTGTAGTGACTTAAAGATTGTGATGGGGACACTCCATTACGGTTGTAAGGCGAGGGCTATCTGTAATTGACTCAAGAGTTTATTTAGTCTTGGAGTTCTCTAGAGTTCTGATTACTCTGTGTGGTAGTACATCTGGAGTATTCCAGTGAAGAAAACAAAATGTTGGTCTTGGAAGTAAATTCAGCAGCTTTTTAACCTGAAATCTATAATTTTAATTCTAGGCTTCCTCCTAATGTTGTTTTCCTTTTTTTCTAAAGTGTTTTGTTGAGCACAACTGGTTTCACCTAATTGGCATCGTCTGTGGTCTGGCTATCTACAACTTCACCGTGGTGGACCTCCACTTTCCACTGGCTTTATATAAGAAACTTCTGAATGCGAAACCCGACCTGGATGACTTGAAGGAGCTATCTCCGCTGGAAGGAAGGTAGATGTTGCACAGGGAATGTTATCCTGGCCATTTTGCATGATCAGCATAAAATTACAATTGTCCCAATTGTTTTAGAGGAAAAGAAAAGAGTTGGAAAACGTATACTTTAGGCTGAAATTGAGTACATTTCCCTGGCGACGAAGCTTTACATCGCCCAAAGTAACATCAAAAGCAAACCAGGTGACTCTACTCTTTGGAAAAGAGCAATGAATGGTATGTGCCCACATGTGCAAAATTTGACGACCAGTGTGGTTTAGTGGTGAAGATAGGGGATGAAGAACGAAGAGACCCAGGTCTGCCATGGATTGGCTCACTGGTTGATTTTGGGCCTACCTCTCTCTCTTTCATAGCCTAGTCCAGGGGTAGGCAACCTCGGCTCTTTTATGACTCATGGACTTCAACTCCCAGAATTCCTGAGTCAGCTATGCTGGGAGTTGAAGTCCATGAGTCATAAAAGAGCCGAGGTTGCCTACCCCTGGCCTAGTCTATCTCACAAAGTGTTGTGAGGAAAAACAAGAGGGAGCATTTTGCGTGCTTCTTTGAGTTTCTCTACAAAAGGCGGGCGATATCATTGTCTCTCTCACTGCATCTGAAATTTGAGGTGTCTCTTGATTTGTGCCATGCTTTTTCTGTACTTTAACACATTATAGCAGTGGTGGCGAACCTATGGCACGCGTGCCAGAGGCGGCACTCAGAGCCCTCTCTGTGGGCAGGCGCGCCATGCCCCGGAGATGGCAACCGTCCCTCTTCAACCAGCTGCCTGCTAACTGGCCAAGGTCCCACGTGGCTGGATGCATCCCAGCCCCCATGCGCTCGCTGGCCTCTGTGTGCGGGGGCCAATGGTGTCAGGCAGCAGCTGCCCCGGCCCTTGCCTCACCTTGCCCTGTGACAATGGCACCCCTGCCCTGCCTTGCCTTGCCTCGCCTCACCCCACAGGATGAGCCTCCTGCCCATCGCCCCACCTGCCAGAGACCCCCTGGATCTCCCCCAACCCTGCCTGGTCCCCACAGGCATCCTTCCCTACAAGCAACATCGAGGTGATCACACCCACATTGGCCACACCCGCCCAATGTGCCATGACCACCGCAGCCACGCCCATCCAGTGGGCCACGCCCACCTGGCACCTGGCGATAAGTGGGTTTGGGGTTGCAGTTTGGGCACTCGGTCTCTAAAAGGTTTGCCATCACTGCATTATAGCAATAGCACTAAGACTTATATGCTGCTTCACAGTGCTTTACATCCCCCTCTAAGTGGTTCACAGAGTCAGCCTATTGCCCCCAACAATCTGGGTCCTCATTTTACCCACCTTGGAAGGATGGAAGGCTGAGTCAACCTTGAGCCGGTGAGACTTGAACTGCCGAACTGCCGGTAGTCATATAGATTGTGAAATACAGATGATCCTTGTCTTACGACCAATTGCTTTTGAAGCTCCGACAGAGTTACCTGGTGGGTACTTCAGACACATATTCAGTCTCAAATGGGCAGCTCCCCCCTTCCTCCCTGATTAAGTTATTGCACTTGGTTGCTCAGCAATCACCCTACATCAGACATGTCAAACACAAGGCCCGGGGGCCGGATGCAGCCCGCGAAGTGGTATATTGTGGCCTGCGAAGCCATCTTGGAAACAGTGAGGGAATGGCCCCCACTGCCTTGGCCCTGGCCCAGGCCGGCCAGGAGCTAATGTACAATTTTGTGGTGGCACCACCATCCCAGCCCCCCCCCCGCATGGCCTGAGAGGAACAGTGAGGCTCCTCCGTGGACCATGCCTTGGCACTAGCCCTGGTCCCACCCCCTTCTGCCAGAGATCCTCAGATCTGTCCCACTCCTGCCCAGGCCCCCACAGGCACCCTTGACGCGAACAATGTAGAGCTGGCCATGCCCACCCACTAAGCCACACACACCCTGGCCACACCCACCCGCCCCCCCCCAAGGGCAACCGCAATGCTTATGCGGCCCTCAATGAAATTGAGTTTGACATCCCTGCCCTACATTTACAGCCATGGTCATGTGATCACCTTTCTGACAGTTTTGCCAAAACCTGGCATTTACTTCTGGTTTTTGGAAAAAGCGTGCCCATAGTGAACCCCTGGTTTGCTTAATGACCGTGGCATTTGCTTAACAGTTGTGGATCTGCAAAAAAAGGTCATAAAATCAAATCAGTCACGTGACCAACCTGTTTTATGATTTTGTATGACTTTGACGGGCAGACAGCATTATGTTTTAATTCAAGGACTACCTGTACATGTATGCAGTCTATTTATGATACAGATCTTGTATAATACCAGTACAGGTAGTCCTCAACTTATAACGGTTATTTAATGACTGTTCAAAGTTACACCAGCACTGGAAAAAGTGAGTTATGACCATTTTTCACACTTATGATCGCTGCAGCATCCCCATGGTCACCCGATAAAAATTCAAATGCTTGGCAATTGACTCATATTTATGACGGTCGCAGTGTCCCTGGGGTCACGTGATCACCTTTTGCGACCTTCTGTCAAGCAAAGCCAATGGGGAAGCCAGATTCACTTAACAACCGTGTTGCTAACTTAGCAACTGCGGTGGTTCGCTCCACAACGGTAGCAAGAAAGCTCGTAAAATGGGGCAAAACTCACTTAGCAAATGTCTCACTTAGCAACAGAAATGTTGGGCTCAATTGTAGTCATAATGTGAGGACTACCTGTAATGAAGCAAGATGCATAGTTAAAGCTACCAGTAAATGGCTCCCTTTTCCTTCTTGCTGTTTTTATCCTTCTGTTTAGGAGCCTCCAAGAGCTTTTGGATTATCCCGGGGAAGATATTGAGGAAACATTCTGCCTCTCCTTCACAGTAAGAACAACTCAGTCCTACTTTTTGTGTTTATGAAAGCTTAACGAATGCCAGCGCTTCAGAGAAATATTAGTTCCACATTGGTTGGGAACAGGAGCTCTTCTACGTGCTACTCTCCCATTTCCAGGAGACACATCAAGAGAAGATGACCTCTCTATCTGTGACTCTATTTTAGAGTCACAGCAATTTTGTACTAGTGTGTAGTAATAATGAGTAGTTTTGATAGAATTGGATTATTGTGCGTTTATTTCCTAGATTAGCTTTGGGAAGTCCTGGGGGGGGGACGGGGGAAAGGGGTAGGTTGGTATTATAGATTTATATGTATATATATGTATGATTTTTTAAGGAGGTGCCCGGTGATACCCCAACTGCACTGACGGGATGGTTGAGTGAGAAAGGGAGGTAGGAAAGAGGGAGGAAGGAGGAGTGGTGGTAGGAGGGGAGGAGGAAGGTGTAGGCAAGTGAGAGGGTGGTGCAGGAGGGGGACACCGGACACGTCCGTGAATGTATTGATTAGTGTTGATTTTTGGTTGATATTGTGATAAAAGATCTATGTTTTTGTTTTTCAATGAAAAATCAATAAAAATTTGTTTAAAAAAAAAAAAAAGAGAAGATGACCTCTCTTAAGATTGAGGTTTGGGAACAATAGGGATATTTGTGCTGGGCCTTTGGGATATAGAGAAAAAGATGTTGGATAAACATATTACTGAAAAGCTGTATCCTCCTTGCTGGTGTAGTTTTTCTTCTCAGCCCCACTTCTCCCAACCCCCTATTTCGGGGTCCTTTCAACCGTAAGCTTGAAAATATATGGAGTTGATCTGTTGACTATCGCGCTGGAGTGTAAGAAGAAGATTCTGATTGGAGAGAAAAAAAAAGTGTCTTAACTGTAGAATATGTTTGACCAACGGTCCCCTCATTGAGAATTTTCAAGCAGGTCCTGGATAGTCTTCTATTTAGGACTTTAATTTGGATTCCTGCAATGAGCAGAGAGTTGGACTTCAGGGGTTGATTAGCCCTTTGCAGTTCTTTCATTCGTGATCGTGGATGCTTCTTTTGAAAGTCCTGCTTCCTCATGCTGGATTATCACAGAGAGAAAAAGAGACAGAGGCAGCCTGGAAACACAGTGCTAGGCTGCATTAACAGAGGGATAGAATCAAGATCACGTGAAGTGTTAATACCACTCTACAATGCCTTGGTAAGGCCACACTTGGAATACTGCATCCAGTTTTGGTCACCATGATGTAAAAAAGATGCTGAGACTCTAGAAAGAGTACAGAGAAGAGCAACAAAGATGATTAGGGGACTGGAGGCTAAAACATATAAGGAATGGTTGCTGGAATTGGGTATGTCCAGTTTAATGAAGAGAAGGACGAGGGGGAACATGATAGCAGTCTCCCAATATCTCAGGGGCTGCCACAAAGAAGAGGGAGTCAAGCTATTCTCCAAAGCACCTGAAGGCAGGACAAGAAGCAACGGATGGAAACTAATCAAGGAGAGAAGCAACCTAGAACTAAGGAGAAACTTCCTGACAGTGAGAACAATTAACCAGTGGAACAACCTGCCTCCAGAAGCGGTGAATGTTCCAACACTGGAAGTTTTTAAGAAGAAACTGGACAGCCATTTGTCCGAAATGGTATAGGGTTACTTGCCTGAGCAGGGGGTTGGACTTGATGACCTCCAAAGTCCCTTCCACCATCACCATCACCACCACCACCACCACCACCACCACCACCACCACCACCACCACCACCACCATCATCATCATCATCATCATCATCATCATCATCATCATCATCATCATCATCATTATTATTATTATTATTATTATTATTATTATTATTATTATTATTATTATTACTATTATAACTGACAGTGTCTCAGAATGCAAACCTCAAATGGTGTCCCCACCTTTCCTAATTTTCAGGATTGACCACAATCCTGAAAATTCAAGATTGAATAAATAGTTGAGAATTCTGGGATTTTAATACCTCTGCAGAATTTTCAGGTTTCAAAAATCTGTCCTACCGATTTTGGAATGAATGGTATACTTAGTTGTTGCAAAGTTGACCCTTCCGTATCCCTGGTATGTCAAGTTAGAAATTGTCATTTGCAGTAAACCAAGACTATCTTAACTTTAGTTATATGTTGGAAAGCCAAAAGTTTTGTTTAAAATGTGTCCCTTGTGGAAAATAATAATACTGTTGTTGCTGCTCAAGAGATAAAAGTATAAAGCAGCTTTGCCATTGTTTGTTTGGATTGGAAATACAGATATGCAAAGAAAGTTATGGCGTAGTGGAACAGAAAAATCTTGTTCCTGATGGAGACAAAATACCTGTACAGAATAATAATAGGTAAGTGTTGGGTGACGGTAAGGTTGAAGAAATGCTTCACTGCTGTGCTGTGACAGACTGCCATGAATTGTGGGGAGGGGAAATGAAGGGGGAAACGAAAGTAAGGGCTGCATCTCTTTGAGATGCTGCCTCAAGGTCATCCAGCTAGAAGGAGGGAGCTGCACGTCATACTACCATAACTGACCATTATGAAAACATCTTACCTGAACCTGATTGGTTACATGGGGATGAGCAAAGAGAGACAGTTAAGGGAGGCAAAAGTTGAATGTAGGGATTTTGGTGCGCGATTCTTAGTTCTGGCTTTGCAACACTGCAGTACATTTGATCTCTAATAAACTATGCCTTTCTCAACCAATGGAGCCAAGGATCATTTCTATTTAGAGAGAAATAAGTTGTGGCAGCTCCAAGAACCCATGATATAAATAACGAAACACGGTGTTCCTTCTAATTCCCCCAGACAGGAATTTGTGGATGCCTACGTGAATTACGTCTTCAATGTCTCCGTGCATGAGTGGTACACTGCTTTCTCAAGTGGCTTCTTGAAAGTGTGTGGTGGGAAAGTGTTTGAACTCTTCCAGCCTACTGAGCTGAGGGCTATGATCGTGGGAAGTAGCAAATACAACTGGAAGGAGCTGGAAGAGGTTAGTGAACACCCATTTGACTTTCTTCCATGTCTTGGCTTGTCTAGAAATTAAGGTAGGCAGCTATGATCTCTAGGAAAGTATATGTCTCATGACAGGAAAATTCTCTTCTGCAAATGTACCATTTTAATCTGACCATCGTTGTGAAAAAGCATCTCATTTTGTCACAGCACTCATAGATTTTATTATTATTAAATTTACGTGCTGCCCACCTTGTTAAAAAGATTATTTTTTAAATTTATTTGCTGCCCATCTCACCAAGGGGCTACTCTAGTCGGCTTACAACAATAAGAACGAAAAAATGAAAATAATGTAAACATAACAAGTAAAGTAATGGGACAATTGGCTAAACAATGAAAAAAGGAAACAATGCTACTTGAGCAATGATGGCGCAGTGGTTAGAAAGCAGTATTGCAGGCTAACTCTACTGACTGCCAGGAGTTTGATCCTGACCAGCTCAAGGTTGACCCAGCCTTCCATCCTTTCAAGGTTGGTAAAATGAGGATCCAGATTGTTGGGGGCAATATGCTAATTCTGTAAACCACTTAGAGAGCACTGCAAAAGCACTATAAAGTATTATATAACAGAAGAATAAAATAATAGCGTTAGAAGGGAACTTGGAGGTCTTCTAGTCCAACCCACTGCTTAAGCCAGAGACTCTATACCAGGGGTGTCAAACTGCTGGCCCGCAGGCCGGACGCGTCATCCGGAAGCCGCATCCGCCCCATTGGCGGCAATGGCAAAATCAGCCCGATACGTTGCGCGACGGCACATGACGTCGCGAGTTTGACACCCCTGCTGTATACCATTTCAGAAAAATGACTTTCCAGTCTTTTTTTAAAAGCCTCCAGTGATGGAGCACCCACAACCTCTGAAGGCAAGCCGTTCCACTGGTTAATTGTTCTCACTGTCAGGAAATTTCTGCTTAGTTCTAGGTCACGGGTCCTCAATCTTGGCAACTTTAAAAAGTTGGCTGAGGAATTCTGGGAGTTGAAGTCCACAAGTCTTAAAGTTGCCAAGGTTGAAGACTCCTGTTCTAGGTTGCTTAGTTTCCAACCATTGTTTCTGGTGTTTTGGAAAGTAGGTTGACCCCTCTTCTTTGTGGCACCCCCTCAGGCATTGGAACACTGCTATCATGTCACCCCAGTCCTTCTTTTCACTAGACTAGACATACCCAATTCCTATAACCATTCTTCATATGTTTTAGCCTCTACCTTCCCATAAGTCTCAGTGCTATTACTATTAAGTATGAGTATTGTGACAAAATGACAGAGAGACTCTTAAGATACCTTATCACTATTTCTTTTTAATTACGTGTGAGGTTTTTAATTCTGTATGAGGTTTCCACTACACTAATTTTGACTTGTTCCATTGGCAATCCCTTTTCACAGCAGAATGTTGTGGATTTTTTATATTTTGATATAAATGTTCATGTGGAGCATATTGAACCCTTTGGAGTACCAACATCTGGGCTGTAAAGGATTGGGGTTCAATTTTATTTATTTTTTACTATTCTGCTTTCTATGTTATGTCACAGTCCAGTTCTAAAATTATTATGTAGTCATTTACTATTTTGTAATACATTGGGGATATTAGGAGAGCAATTGATCTTTTAGAACAATAACTTTAACCAACACACCCAAATTATAATTTCAAATTATTATTATAATTGACCTCTTGTTCTTAAACAACATGTTGTCCTTTGTATCTTGTTTTACAGAGTGCAAGTTACAAGGGAGATTATTCAGCTACACACCCTACCGTACAAATGTTCTGGGAAGCATTTCACGAATTCCCTTTAGAAAAGAAGAAGAAATTTCTTTGTAAGTATTTATATAGAACTATAACTATTTTCTTCCGCTGAGACTCAGTTCAGACCAGTGATTCTCTCATTGAGGTTTGGTAGTAAAACACAGAAGATAGATTTCAACCATGTGATGGGCAATTCTTCTAGCTCAACGGTGAAGAAAATAGAAGAAAAATCCTTAGACAAACCTCCTGCTCTTCCGTGCAGAAAACTAGCAATGAGAAACTTTTGAGACTGCTGGTTTTTTTCTTGTTTGAAGTTTTTTTTCCCCAAAATACTAGATTATTTTAAAAGAGGGCAGATTCTCAGACTAACAGAAATGGCATGGTTTTTGAAGATTTTTGTCATAGATTTTGTTGGTTGGGAAGATCAGTCTATGGAACAGAAGGGTTAACAGGAATGGAAGAAGGATAAAATTGGTCCAAACTTCGTAACTGTAAATCAAAGGGTTGTCTAGATCTTTTTTTTTTTTTTTTGGTCAATGTCTGATATCTTTTGGGAATTCAGGATAAGATTGCAAGACACCATAGGCCAGCGGTAGGCAACCTTGGCTCTTTTATGACTCGTGGACTTCAACTCCCAGAATTCCTGAGCCAGCCATGCTGAGGGGAAAGGGAGAGTTTCCAAGCTGAGCCATGCTGGCTCAGGAATTCTGGGAGTTGAAGTCCACGAGTCATAAAAGAACCAAGGTTGCCTACCCCTGCCATAGGCTGAGGTCATTGTGGATGGTCGTGCTTTGTGGAGTCGATTTAAAGTGGAGTTAATGAGACAATGGGAAAACTCTAGGCAAAAATAACAAACAGGCACGGGGCAGTCTGTGACACAAATGAATCAATTTATAGGCTTTGAAGTCGAAACTAATTAGCAAGAGCAAGAGTATCAGTTTTGTATTTCTGCACTCCACAGACTATCATTACAGGTATAGGTAGTCCTTGACTTACAACCACAATTGAGCCAAAATTTATGTTACTAAGCGAGACATTTATTGAGTTTTGCCCCATTTTACGACCTTGCTTGCCACCGTTGTTAAGTGAATCACTGCAGTTGTTAAGTTAGTAACACGGTTAAGTGAATCTGGCTTCCCCACTGACTTTGCTTGTCAGAAGTCACAAAAGGGGATCACATGACCCCGGGACGCTGCAACCGTCATAAAAATGAGTCAGTTGCCAAGTGTCTGAATTTTGATCACGTGACCATGGGATTGCTGCAACAGTCGTATGTGTGAAAATTGGTCATAAGTCACTTTTTCCAGTGCCATTGTAACTTTGAACAGTCACTAAATGAACTGTTGTAAGTCAAGGACTTCCGATAGTTCTCAGCTTACAACCATTCATTTAGGGACTGTTCAAAGGCACGGTGGCAACCAATCCTTGCAGCATTCCCACGATCATGTGATCAAGACTTGGGCATTTAGCAACCAGCGTATTATATATACGACAGCTGCAGCTTCCCAAGGTCATGTGATTGTCATCTGCGACCTCGGATGCCGCCTTCTGACAAGCAGAATCTATGAGGTAAAGCCAAATTCACTTAACAACTAGGTGAATCCTTTAAAAACTACGGCGATTCATTTAACAACCGTGGAAAAAAAGGTCATCAAAACAGAAACAACACATTTAACAACCGCCTTGCTTAACGACATAAATTTTGGTTCCAATTATGAGTGCAAACCGAGGGCTACCTAGATTGCGGTAAGGGCAGCTCATTGCCAGAGGAGCAGAAATCGGTCTTTGAAGGGAGGCAGTGGGAGGCAGTGTTGCTTTCCTACAAGTGTTGTTTTGTTGATGACTTTCTGACATGCTTTTTCTGCTAGTGTTCCTGACTGGCAGCGACCGGATCCCCATCTACGGCATGTCCAGTTTGCGCATGGTCATTCAGTCCACCTCCAGTGATGAGCAGTACCTGCCAGTGGCCCACACCTGCTACAACCTCCTTGATTTGCCCAAGTACAGCAGTAAAGAAACCCTGAGCACACGACTTACTCAAGCCATCGACCACTATGAGGGCTTCAGCTTGGCCTGAGCACAAGCCACCCCCAACAGAGACCACTTGAAACGGAAAGAAAAATCTTGTCTTGTTCTTCCTTTTGTAGGGAAATGGGGCAAGTTGCTCAGGGAAGCCAAAGGGAAAAGGGGGGGGGAGGGAGGTATATAGGAAAAAGGACACCAAAACAGGTCTGTCAATCTTTCTTGAGGTTTTAATGTTCACACTTTTGACCTATCTCTTAAAACTTATTTTATGCTTCTTGGGCGATTTTTGTTGGTTTAAAATAGCCTCCCTCCGCTTCTCTGAAGTCTGTGGAATTACCTTTATATTTCTGAGGCCTCGCCGTCTTTTTCAAAAATAAGATTCTGCCTGCTGTGAATTTCTTTTCCATTCTCTGCCACTCTGAATTTCTTTCCATTTCCTTCTCCTTCAGCTTTGAACTTCCCTCTTTGCTCGTAGACCAGGTTTCTCAGCTCCAGGGATAATTTCTTTATGCCTTTGAAAGCACCGAGGTGATTATTGGAAGAGTAGTTGGTGATGGGAAATGAAAAGCTTAGTTTTTCTCCTTTACAGAATTTCTCCATTTCTTATAGTCTGCAGAAAACAATCTTCTTAACCTCCTGTTTGACCTCACAACTTCCTCTCTGAGAGCTGCCAGGCAGCAGAGATCCTGCAGAATGGGATTACTTTACCTTTGTGTTAATTGTTCAAAGGAGAATTGGTGTGGTATTTTTCATTTCCCTCCAGGAATGGGAATTTCACAGCATAGATCAGTGATGGCGAACCTTTTAGAGACCGAATGCCCAAACTGCAACCCAAAACCCACTTATGTATCTTTGGGTTCTGGGTGGGCATGGCCAATTGGGTGGGTGTGGCCAATTGGGTGGGCATGGCTGCAGTGGTAACGGCAGACTGGGTGGGACTAAAAAGTTCAGTCAATCAATTCCAACTTTGCGAGATCTTTTTTTTTCCTGCAAGAAGTTGAAATTGATTGATTGATTGAACCTTTTTTTTTTTTTTGCACACGGTGGCGGAGGCCTAAAGCGAAAAGGTTTTATAAAGCCCATCTGAAGGCCTAGGACTGGGGCGACGGCGCACATGTCCACAGAGAGGGCTCTGAGTGCCGCCTCTGGCACGCATGCCATAGGTTCGCCACCACGGGCATAAATCATGTTTTCTTCCCATCTCCGGGTGCAGATGAGTGCAGATGTGTTTCTTGCAGACTTCTACTGAATGTCTCTTTGCCATTCTGCCTGTCTTATGAATGGATGATGCTTTTTTGGGTGGGGGGGAAGCAGGCTTTCTCTGCCCCACTGAGATCCAGAGCCAAATTACAGTGGGGTGGGATGAATGGAAGAAAAATGACGACCAGCTTTCTTTTCTCCCCCAAATCTCTCTCCCCCATACGCACATTTTATTATAAAAGTCACAATGAATATTCTTTCCCCTGCCCTTGATAATTTTATCAATTGCTGGTCCAAGCCTAGTTGATAATGACTGAATCCATGGAAACTAATGAAATTAGTCCATTTGGGACTGATGGAGGGAAAAGCTAATTGCAATCCTGATCCAGCTCAGCCATGAAGAGGGTTTTATTTTTCAGTCAGCCGAGCAAGGTGGACTTTAGTCGTAATTCAATTTTGGTTGGCATGGAGCCGCAGTACTTGTGTACCTTTTAATTCAACCATGTTTTGCACTTTCCCTAATGAAAAAAGCTTTAAAAGCATTAAGGGGTCACTTGGCTGTTTGGGTAGCGAACGGGCCTCTTTTTACCGCAACTTTAAAAGAACTTTATCAAATGCTTATTTTGTATGTGTGTGTGTGTACATAGCTCAATATTATGCAATAAATGGAATGTTTCCTTCAGACTTTATACTGCTTTCATGATGCTTCAAGAAGAAAATAAGTTAAAAAAATAGAATAGTGATGTGTCCAGCTGTTTTCCTAACAGCACTGCTAAGTGCTAGGAGAGATGAAGGTGGAATCTGTGAGGGAAAGGGTTTTTTTTTTTTACATCCTTTCCTTTCATTTTCAGATTTTTTTGTTGGTTTGTTTTAAATTTCTGAGGTAATGGATTAAGCACACAGCCCTTAAGCTTTTTATACACAAGTTATTGGTAAGGACACTTTTGCAGGCTTTCAACGGTCAAATTTCAGAAAATCCAAAACTCGTCCCAGATTCTATAACCCCAATGGGTATTTGGAGCTAATTATTGCTTTTTTCTGCTTTCTGCCCTCTACTAAGAGTAACTGACAGGGTTAACAGAATAACAATAACAGAGTTGGAAAGGACCTTGGGGGTCTTCTAGTCCAACCCCCTGCTCAGACAGGAAACCCTATATTATTTCAGACAGATGATTGTCCAGTCTTTGTTTAAAAGCTTCCACAACTTCTGAAGGCAAGACATTCCACTGGTTAATTGTTCCCACTGACAGGAAATTTCTCCTTAGTTCTAAGTTGGTTCCTCTCCTTGATTAGTTTCCATCCATTGCTTCTTGTCCTGCCTTCAGGTGCTTTGAAGAATAGCTTTGACTCCCTCTTTGTGGCAACCCCTTAGATATTGGAACACTGCTATCATGTCTGAGCTGGTTGAACTGGTCTCAGGTTGAAATCATTAAGCCTTTCTTCCTCCTTCTGCTGACTGGGACTTTTGGAAGTTGAAATCCAGTGGAATTGGAGGAAATTAGGTTGGGGGAACTGAGATATACATTAGCAATAGTACTTAGACTTATATACTGCTTCACAGTGCTTTGCAGCCCTCTCTAAACAGTTTACAAAGTCAGCCTATTGCCCCCAACAATCTGGTCCTCATTTTACCCATCTCGGAAGGATGGAAGGCTGAGTCAACCTTGAGCCATTCAGGGTCGAACTGCCGAACTGCTGGCAGTCGACAATCAGCAGAATTAGCCTGCAGTGCTGCATTCTAACCACTGCGCCACTACGGCTCTTATGAATACTTTTTAACATGGTGGCATTTTTTTTGGGTAGAACTAGAAAAATACCCATTTTGGCAGAAAGGAACATCACATGTTTTTTAGTCTCTTTCCAAGGCAGATTTCAGTTTGACTAATCCCTGAGCGACATGCAGGTGGCCGGCATTATTGAGACTGGTTTTAACCTCTCTTTCCCTGTTGAGTACCAGTGCTGGGAAGCACCGAATAATCCCAAGAAACGCTTTTACAGTTTTCCGGTAATACCTCATAGCTTTCATTTCTGGGAGGATTTACTTTTGGAAGCACAATGGGCATTTATTTGTTGGATTGTTACAACTAAGCTTCTCTGGAATATGAAAGACCCGCATGAATGTTGATGACCCGTGCAGGATTATATCCTGGAGATCAGCAACCCAAGTTGTGAAAAACGGAGGGACTATGCAATAACATCACTTCTAGGTATGTTTTTCTATCCCAGCAGAACAGAACACCACACCACATACACTCAGAATCACCACTGCACGTGCAAAAAAAAAATGCAGAAAGTTCAATTTTTTTCAGCAGGGTTGCTGAAAAAAAGGTTGAATTGCCTTGCAGCTGAGAACAGACTTATCTCACTACAAGATTAGGTAGTCCTCGACTTAGGACCCTAATTGAATCCAAATATTTCTGTTGTTAAGCAAGCCAGGCAGTTAAGTGAGTTTTGCCCCATTTTTTGACCATTTTTGCCACAGTTGTTAAGCAAATCACTGCACTTGTTACTGCAGTTGCCAAATGCCGGTATTTCGATCACGTGACCATGGGGAGACTGCAATGTTTGTAAGTGAAAACTGGTCATAAGTCACTTTTTTCAGTGCCGTTTTAACTTTGAATGGTCACTAAATGAATGATTGTAAGTCAAGGACTACCTGTAAATGTCTTCAAATGTTTAATAATATAACAACAATAATAATAATAATAATTGCCATTGAAACTGCACGATTATGGATGAAACGTGTAACAGTGGTACCCATTGTCATCGGGGCACTGGGAACTATGTCCAAAAACGTTGCAAAATACATCAAACTGCAGCTTCCTGCAATAACTCCAGCAATGTTACAAAAAACTGCACTACTCGGAACATCTTATATTTTAAGGAGGTACCTGGTTGACACCTAGGATGCTGGTAGCAACCCGTGTCAACCATCAGCGCCAGCCAATTTGAATGTTCAGTTGACTGAGGTTTATGTTTAATGAATAAAAGATAATAATAATAGTAATATAGAACAATTCTTTATTGGCCAAGTGTGATTGGACACACAAGGAATTTGTCTCCGGTGCATAAGCTCAGAGTGTACATATAAAGAGCAAGTAATAGGACACGGAGCATAAATCATAGTTACAATCATTAATCATAAGTTACAAACCACAGCTGATAAATCATAAGAACCCAATAGGAGGAGATAGTAGGCAAGATGAGAAATGAAACAGATTAACTCCTGTAATCCATGATTTTTGTGGCTAGCTTCAAAGAAAGGACAGCTTTAGCTACAAAATGACAGTGATAACTCAAAAGTAAAGCAATTCTTGTATGATTCAGCTTCTGAACATGCAAAACTGCTGAAAGGCAGTTTTATAAGTTTTATAGTTGACATTGGCAATTAAGCAGGGTCAGACCTGTTTACTGCCTGGATGGAAGACCATGAGAAATTAGGGGGTTGCAAGCTATGTTGGGAATTTGGGAGAAGTTCCAGAAAGAAGGCAGCTTATGGCCTTTCAATTCTGTTGCTAAGGAAACTACAGGTGATCCTCAACTTACAACAGTTCCATTTAGTGACCTAAACTACAATGGCACGGAAAAAAATGATTTATTACCGTTTTTCACACTTATGACCATTGTAGACTCCTCCTGGTCACACGATCAAAATTCAGATGCTTGGCAACTGACTCATACTTATGACGGTCATGTGATCACCTTTTGTGAGCTTCTGACAAGCAAAGTCAATGGGGAAACTGGATTCACTTAGCAGCTATGTTACTAACTTAACAATGGCAGTGAGTCACTTAACAACTGTGTCAAGAAAGGTCATAAAATGGGGCAAAACTCTCTTTAAGAACTGTCTCAGCAACGGAAATTTTGGGCTCGATTGTGGTTGTAAATTGAGGACTACCTGTAATCAATTAACTAAAATGACTTGTCCATGAAGTCACCATAAGTTGAATTTGACTTGAAGGAGAC